TGCCCACCCTGCCCACGGGCGTGCCGACCCTGCCCACCCTGCCCACGGGCGTGCCGACCCTGCCCACCCTGCCCACCAGCCCCATTGTTGGCGCTGTGGGTAGCGCACCTGTTGTTGGCGGGCTTCTTGGTTAGGTAAAAATTGATGCCCTTGCTTGTATCAAAAAGTCACGGTTTCGGGTTACATTACGTTCCTGTCGCTGGCTGTGAACCCCAGCTTGGCGCACATTCCCGCACTTGACCCCTTGGACAGCTCACTACGTGCCCCCGGTTGCAGGGGCCCAGCCTTACGTGTAACACAAGACTCTCACATGCATGTGATCTAGTGCTGTGTCTGAATACCAACAGAGCAATGATAGTTGTCGATCAGTCTGGGGGGTGTCGGTGATGTTGCATACCGACGGAGCGAGGAGGCTGCAGCCAACAATACCAACGCCATCTCTGCTCCCTCACGTCTACAAACATCGCAGCAAGGGGTACCGTAATGCACCTGGCTACGGCTCTTGTTCGCTGGTCATATGGTTTGATTTATTACGGCAGGTATTAATGCATGGCCTCTGCGTACACCTGACCAAAGTAAGGGCAACGGGAAAGCACATCCCCAGCTGTGGCCACCCGCAAGATGATACGTGCACGCCGCACAATGCACAAAATGATGTGTCACACACACACACACACACTACACACACACACTACACACACACACACACGCAAGCACGCACGCACGGACGCACGGACGGACGCACGCACGCACGCGCGCGCGCGCGCGCACACACACACACACACACACACACACACACACACACACACACACACACACACACACAAGTAAACGGCTTCAATGCCTGGTTGAAGGACGATCGTTGACTTGTACTGGAATTGCGCCACCAGGAGCCCTAACTTGGCGTCCATCTTGCTTATGCTGCAGTCAGCCAGATGACCTTGCAGGACTGCTTGCAAGCAGCAGGGACCTGCGGCCCATTGAAACGCAAGTCAACTGTGTTGCGCAGGTTTGTAACCAGAAATGTTTGGTGGGATACCCTTGTCTAGCTCGAGTGCTCCTCTCCAACATCCGTAACCCTCCGCGCGCCAGCCCTCCCTGCCGGCCCCCGCCCGCTCTGCCCCTGTCCCCAGCCCTTCCAGACATCCCGAGCGCCCCGCGCCCGCGCCCTCGCGCGCGCTCAGCATGTTGCAGAACGCAGACAGCAGCCAAAACGCAAGGATCCCCCGTTCAGAACTGGCACGCCTTCTCCTCCTGCAATCGTGTTTATTCGACAGCAGCTAAAGGAAGATGAGCAGGAGAGGAGCCCAGCAGGTAGCCTAAGCCTGCTGCCTGCCTGGCCAAAGGCCCCCCAACAGGCATCCCTGCATCCAAGGGCACCCTGGGCTATCCCTTGCATGCAGCAGCTCCAAGCTGCCCACCAGGCCCTCTACTGCGTGGGGAGGCTGCCTGGCACCCCTCGCCTTTGGGGGGGGGGGGGGTTGGGGGGAGGTTGCAAAAAGGTCGCTGTTACACTTGTCTGAAAACAAGAAGAATGCACATTTCCTGTGTACTCTAGCTATGAACACACACACTGCTATCACCCACTGGCAGCTGCTCCATAGCTGCTCTTTACCAAACATCTGCCTGCCATGAAGCATGCGTTAAGCCACCTCCGCTAACAGTCGCTTAGAATGCGATGCGTTAACAAACTGCTGGTTGTTTATCGCGTCACACGACAGCGAAGCGATGATCTACCGGCATGACTAGTACTTCAGATTCAAGCCCCATCGTCTGCGAGTCCCTCTTGCAGTGTCCTATCTGTAAGTGGTTGTGTTTATCAATGGCTCAGCAGGAGCAGCTAGGCGGTGGTCGTGCATGCGAGTCGAAGTGGATGCGCCGCAGCATTGTGGTTGTGCGGCGCCACGGTGGTCGCCGCGGCGCCAGCTCGCAGCGCCACCTTCCGCGTGGCCTCACCATGGTCAGCATGGTGCCTTGGAGCTGCAGTCAATAAGGATAGCCTCGCAGTTGGGGTAGCTGGCCGTTTGCGCATGCTTGTGCAGACTCTTAAGTGGCTGCAACGATCCCCCACATGCGGGCCGCACGCCGCAGGCCTCTCCGACACCCTCGACCGGGCCGTGGTGCTGCTGTGCTGCCACGCCTTCTGCCGCTCCTGCATAGACGCGTGGTGCCGCCTCAAGCGCGTCTGCCCCTTGTGCAAGGTGGGCCTGCGCGCGGCGCTAAGCAGGACGGGCGGTGACGGCCCACAGGCAGCCGCAGGGACGACCGCACCGACCTGCAAGGACGGGTTGCCGGCATAGCTGCGACATCCTGGCTGCGGTCCCGCTACGAACTTTGCGGCAGCTGCCCGCCGCACAGCCTGGGCCCCTTCTCCCCAACAACGGAGCATGCGCCTGCCACCCTGCGCGGCGTGTCCCTTTTCCTGCGCCGCCCATTCCGTGCTGGCGGCACCCTCCGCCGCGCCGGCCTCGCAACCGCACCAGGGCCGCATCTCTGGCTACCGCTACGACATCAGATCAGATTCAGAATTCTCAGAGGTCGCCTTCCCGCCCACGCCCCCGCCCGCCGCCGCCGCCGACGGGCATGACGCCGCCCGCCGCCGCCGCCGCCCGCCGGGCGCCGGCGAGCAGTACGAGTCGGCGGAGGCTGCGGCGGCGGCGTACGCGCGCGGCGTGATCGCGATCTTTGGGGCGAGCGTCGACGATGGATACCATGAGGGCGGCGGCAGGGAGCGGCCGCAGCTGCGC